ATATATTATAATTTCTTTTAAGTAAGTGAATTTTTATTTTAGTATATTAATTAATATAGGCTAATCGTTTAATAAATTATTCCTCTATCTTAAAATACTATTTAAGTCCTTAAGGGATTTAGTATTATTAATCCTCTTATTATAAAAGGATTTATAAGTTTCCTTATAAATTTTATAGTATACTATTAAATCGGTCTCTCTTATTTCGGTTAAGGAAGGGTTCTATTATAGTATATTCTTAGGCTGTCCCCCAATTGGGATAGAATATTCCCTAATTATACTTTTAAAGGTATTTATAAGTATTTATACTAATTTATTGAGTTTTACTACTATAGAAGGGATTAAAGGTTATTATAAGAGCTATTTAATAAGTACTAAAATAGTATTATTTATTTATTCCGGGGGTAAAAGGTATTTCCGGGGGGGTAGGGTAATTTTAATAATAGGAATAGTAATAATAAATTTCTTATAATTTAATACCTATACTCCGACCCTTATATATAATTTACCTACGCCGAACGCTAAATTTATAATAAATTTACTTTAAATATACTTATAAATAAGTACGCCTAGGGTATTAAGGAGGTAGAGGCCGAAAGTAATTATAAGGTTATTAATTTTGGTACTATAGTGAGAATTGTAAAAACGGGGGTCCTATATATAGTAGTACGTATTAAAATCTCTAATAATAAGTAAATAGAATATTAAAACTTCCGGTAAATATATTTTAGTAAATTCTATTTACTTATTTTATAAATACTAATATATATTAGTAATATTAATATTTAAAACTAAGGTAGTAGTAGTATATATTTAGAAGGTAATAGTAATAATAAATTTATATATTTTTATAATATATATTACTATACGTATATTATAATTATTAAGTCTAATAATATAAAAGCTAGGGTATTTATAAAGTCGGCTTTAGATAATTAGAGGCTTTTAAATATAAATTACTGGGATTTAATTATTAATTGCCTATTTAAGTATACTATTAATATTCGTTAGGGATTTTTAAATGTTAATAAATATAATTTTAAATTCCTCTATTATAGGGTAGAAATAGGGGGGAACGTAAATTATTCTTTAATATTTTTATTATCTATATAGGGCTAGGGTAATTGAGAGGAGGTTTAAGAGCGGTTAGTAACTATTAAGAAACAGTTTTTAAGGAAGTTGCTTTAAATTTCGGCCGGGGTTTTACTATTATTAGAAGAACCTTTATTTATAAATAGTATTTTAATATAAGGAGTAGAAGAGGGTTAATTAAAGGAAAAGGAAGCGCTATAGCCCTTTATACCTAATAAATTAAAATATTATTTATTAGTCTCTTTTTATATTATTATTTTAAAGTATATTATCTTCGGATTGAGGGACGGGGCTTATATAAATATAATTATAAATAGGGGAGGGGTATTAAGGCGGGGGGCCGGTTAGATTAGTTCTAATTAGGATAGTATAGTAATTATAAGTAAGGTTAGGCTAGGTTTAGAAATATCGGTAAAGGGTAAATTTTTAAGGGAGGTATCGCTATTTTTATTAATTATAATAACCTCCTAAATTATAGCGTCCGCGTCTACTTCCTTCGCTTTTTTAAATTCGTAAGTAGCTACTTTATAAGCCGCTTTACTTATTTTACGAACGTTAGAATACTAATTTAGTATAAATTTAATAATATAGCCGTCCTTAACCTTAGGGAAAATTAAGTAATTAAAATAATTAAATTAGAAGGGGCCTAAATAATTAGGGTACTAGGGGATTAATTTATATATATTTTTATAAATAGTAAAAGGGGTATTATATTCCTTATAAATTAAAATAGAAATATATTTAGCGGTATAGTACGGATTAAAATAGTATTCGTAAATATTAATTTATAGGTTCTATTCTATTATATAAGCCGATTTAGAATTAAAGATTTAGAATAATTATATTTTCTTTAAAAGGATAATAATATAATTACCGAGGGTCTTAGCCTTAATAATTTTAATTTATTGTTTAATAGTAGTAAAGACTTCCTATTTAATATATAATTCTGTATTATAAGCGTTATTATAGGCGAAGAATTTAAAAGGGACGTTTATAAAGTAATATAATATTAATTTAATTTTAAAGTCGATTTAATAGTATAGGATTTTCTTATTAAGTTCGATAAGGGTTAACTATTAGTTAGAGGTAATAATTTCAATATAAAAACCGGATTATATTAAATAAACTTTCTTAATATATTAGTAAGGGAATTTAATTTCTTTAGTAATATAGGAAATAACTCCTTTGGGTATTATTTTCCGAAGTTCTATATTTGGGGCGAATTTGAGGAAAGCTTTATAATTCTCTTTATAAATAATAATAGTATTAAAGGGAAGGGGGGGCTTATAATTAATATTATTAATAGAAGTAAATAGGCTAATTATTTTAGTCCTATTTTTTTTATTAATAATCTTTTACTATATTATATTCGCGTCCTTAACGGGCGTTTAAATTACTATTTAATTAAATAGGGCCGGGGGTAGGGCTATTTATAATTAGATAAGCCTAGCCTTATTAGTAATTTTTATTAAGGGAAATATAGGGGGGGAAATAGTTTAAAGAGAAAAGGGAGGAAATATCGAAGGAAGAAGGTAGTAAATTATTATAAGGTTTTCTATATAAAAGAAAGAGCGTAGGAAGTTGTAAAATTAAATACGAAGGGGGGTAGCCGCCCTTTTCTAGGCGGGAGAATTGAGGGAATTATATATTTTAATAATAATTTCGATAAATTTTTCGGCGATTTAGAAGCGCGCCTAAAGGCTCTTAATAAATTCTTCGTTCGCTTTGCGTAAGGTAGTTATAATATCGTTTTAAAAGGGCGCTATTATAATTATTGTAAGGGAGAGATAGGCGTTAAGCCCGTCTTAGAGGGTAGGAAAAGTTGTAATAATTGTCTTAGTATTTTAGCGACGGTTTAGGGTACCTAGTCCTAATTGGTTTACTCTCGAATAACGTCCTCTAATTGGCCGAAGCCAATCTTAGAAAAAATAATTCGGGAGAAGGTGTAGAGGATTGGAAGATTGTCGTCGATAGCCGTACTTGGATTGTAAGGCACGCGCCTCACTCACTGAGTTTTGGTCATCAGCAGGTAGGTAGGTATATACAGTGTCACTTACAATAGTGCAAGTGCCGTGCCCCACAGCCAGTGACGTTTCGTTAACCGGGCGTAGGTTGGTTAGGTAGGTGCCTACCTGTAGAGGTAGCATTACCCCACCATACTAGAGGTAGCCCGATAGGTACCTCTACACTAGGTACCTACATAGTATAAGGGAAGGGAAGAGGTCCCGCTGTAGTGGGCAAGGACAGTGGCTAGGTAGCTCTAGAACTACACTACCTCTAGGTTATGTGTATATGGCTAGAGGTACCTACCTACCTATCTGCGATAGTACCTCGACATCTGAAGTCGAGTGTTGAGGAACTTGCAACACGAAAGCATGCAACTCCTACCTAACAAAGGAAAGATGGAAACTTAAAGACGGATGGAAGCCCGGCTCTTGGCAGGGTGTCTTTAGGTTGGAGGTGAGTTACTAGGGATTGCAGAGCAGTAGGTAAGGTTGGTGACGCTCGGGACTTACAGCTCTGAAGGGGAAGAAGAGCCCTGGAATTCAGGGAACATCTGATGGAAGCTTCTTCGCCCTTTGCACTGTCAGGCAGGCACGTCTGGATGGCATGGATCCCTTTACTCACAACCATGTCTCCTGTTTGGATTTACCAATGCCGTGATCCCATCACATACCACCTTTACTTGTAGTGTGTGCACCAACTGCTTGTTAAAACACACCTACGTACCTCCAACAAAGTTGTATCTGAATCACCATCCACGAGTGGCTACCATCATCAGCTGTGCCGTTGAAAAGCAAGCTCCCAGCTGCAGCCAAGTGTCGGCTATTTTATATCAACGCCTTTACTACACTTACAAAATTCAACACTCACGCCCAGGCCTTGAACTTTGACTTCAACCTTTCTAGCTTCTTTCCTCTCTTCTTTCTTGCTTCTCTTCCTTCTTTCTCTTCTTTCTTCTTTCTCTTCTTCCTTTTTTCACTTCCTTTTTTTTCTCTTTCCCTTTTTCGCTAGTCTTCTTCTTTTCTCTCTCTTCTTTTTCTTCTTTTTCTTCTCTTCTTTTTCTTCTTTTTCTTCTCTTCTTTTTCTTCTTTTTTTTTTCTTCCTTCTTTTTGGCCCCGGCCGGGGGGGGGAGGAGAGAAAGAGCGGGATCCAGTTGCATTGCTACCTTACCCCAACTCAAAAATTTGGAGAAGAACCAAGTGCAGGGCGGGTTCATTAGCGAGGACAGGCAAGCCAGGGCCTATTTGCACTGCTACCTGACGTCTTAGCAAAGTTTAGTCTCGTACGAAGGTAATGAAGCAATGAAGCAATGGGAGTTAATGGGAGTCAATGAGAGTCAATGAGAGTCAATGAGAGTCAATGAGAGTTAATAAGAGTCAATGAGAATTAATGAGAGTCGATAGGAGTCGATGGAAATTGATGAGAATTGATAGGAGTTAATGGGAATTAATAGGAGTTGGTGGGAGTTGACTTCGTGGGAGATAGCCCGGAGCTTAAGGTAAGCATTAAGTTAGGTTAAGAAGGTTACCCCCCAGTGCGAGCCTAATGCCTGCAGCTGGTACTGACTTTTATTTTCTGAACTTTTGGATAAACGACCCAAGTCACACTTGGGCCACCGTACTGTACACATGGTCCACCGCCCGTGTTGACACGCAGAGTTGGACATCCCCCAAGGACCCAGAGTTGGACCCAGGCCGGGAGCTAGGCTGTAACCCAGGGGGAATCCCACGACCCGGATCGAGACCCCAGCGATCGCCTACGCGGCCATGTCACTACCGATGCCTTTTCCCGAAGCTGCCCTTGATGCTCGACAAGAAGAACTTGGCTTGGCCAGGACAAACTCTCATCGAAATGCCATCTTACCGTCCCAACCAGCTGTGTTCGACACGATTGTGTCTTCCTCCATGGCCCCGACTGCTGCCCCCGTTACCAAAGATCCGTCGCCGTCTGCGTCTTCGCCTCCGGAACGCCGTCGGGTAGTGCTCCCGGATCCCGTTGCGCTCAAGTACGTACCCCAATACATACATGCCCCTGAACCATCAACGCGCTTCTAACAAGGCTCAGATATCTTGGAGAGGATCCTGCCGTCACAGTTGTCGCGACTAGCTGTGTCCTCTATGGCTACGAGTTATACCTGGTCGAACAATGGGCCTGCTCCCGGCTATCACCCGCTTTGGCTATCGTTACCTATACAGGTGATCCGAAACACTCGATAGTCGTCGGCGTCCTGGAAGTAACAAAGGAAGACAAGGGCTGGTCCCAACGACTGGAAGCCTACTTTAAGGCAATACAGCAGCACCATGCTAGGCCAAAGGAGACAGAGTTGGGTGAGCTCATGGTCACTAATCTCAGCAGTTTCCCGTCCGCCTTAACTGTTATACCCGTTCCCGACGGTGACTTGCGCCACAATCTGCGCGTCTTCATTGTCAACGAGAACCTGAAGCGCTTGGGATGCTCGGGACGCTCAGGTCTCACCTTATCAGACCCCACGCCCGCCACCCAGGCCAAGTTCACTCAGCTGTACAAGATCTCCGAGAAAATCTCCTTTCAGGACGCCGTGGTCGAATTGGTCAAGCTATGCCAGGTGGCATTATTCATCTTTGGGCTGCTCGACCAAGTGTACATTGACGGGCTCCTTTGTGACGTCACGGAAGCAGCCATCAACAATTGGTGGACAGATATCGGATCCGAGTACTTTAACGTTGAACCGACAGATGGAATCTTGGGGCCAACTACGGTTGCTGCTCTGTTGGGAACCCTGATAGGCGCCAGGAACCGACTCAGCTATTGCAATGCTCCAGTTTCCAAGGATGTCTTTGATGTTGACTGCACAAAAAGGGGTATCGGAGCGTTCCAAAAATCGCAGAAACTTGAAAGGACACGACGTCTCGACCGGCAAACCCTTCTCAAGCTTCATCAGTTAACCGCCAAGGCCGCCGCAGGAGAGGGTTGGGGTGTACAAAAGGCCGTAAAGTCCACTGTTGCAGAAATAGGAGGCAAGAGAGGTGAGCTGGTGATAGGTATGGTGGGAGGAAAAGACAAAGGGAACATTGGAGATATCGAAACCCTGGATCTGGACAAGTTTATCAACTTGACAACAGGCGAGCGACCGAAGTGGCTATGGCATGGCAAACCGAGGAGGACGCTCAACGATTACGAACATATGCTACCTCCATTTGGCGGGAAAGATGTTAAAGATGATGTGTTATCACAAGCAGGAAGTCGAAGGACCCAGTCGATGCTCATAGACGAGGAACAGGAAGTCAAAAAAGCGACAGAGGAGTTGATGGGTTCATACTCAGCACCGACAGCCTCAGCAGCTAGTACCACGGATATTCCTGCCGATAAAGACGCTTTACGCAAAACGGTCTTCAAGAGTGTGGCTGGAAAGGTGAGCGATGCCCGCTCAGGACTGGGCCGTATCAGAGATGCTGTCGGTACGGGTTTACGAAGCCACGTCAACCGCCCATCCAGAGACGATACTCCCAATGCGGTGGCAGCAATGAGTCTAGCCCCAAGTATAGCAAGCTTGGCGCAGACATCTACTGCTCTGACAAGTCCAGTGGCGGTTGGACAGGTATTCACATGGCGTTCGAGACCAGAGGAGTACTTGAGAGAGATCAAGGAAAGGGACCCCAACGAATCTACACCAGCACTATCGATTGCCAGCACCACAGCCGGAGCTCCTTCGACTATCAGACAGTCATCAGGCTCACATCGCAGAGAAGCTGGTATCACAAGATCAGAGCCCGGGGTCGCAGAGAAGGCCAAAAGTCTCGATGCTCCCATCATCAACTCAGTCCCAGATCCCAACGACCTTCTAGGACCCATCCAAACCCTCGAGCGAACCATAGATCTCCCCATATCCTTACTCCATCGCCGCCACAGCATCCACGGCTTTAGTCCCAGGCTCATCCTTAACCAGCCTTCCAAGGAAGCCAAATATCCTCGCCGCCTCTCCTTCAGCGCAGCCGAGGATGCTGTGCTAGGGTGGGACGAAGTCTACGACATCAGCAACCTTATCTCATCCCTTGAAGGGCCCGCTACAACATCAGCCGCCATCCAGCAGCAGCACCTCTCCGACGGTACCCTCTTCAAAACCCAAGCCGAGCTCGCCCGCTCCCTGTATGCGCACCTCTCTGCCCTCCAATCCGACCTCTCGCCCTGGGTCTCCTCCAAGCTGTCGTCAGTCGAAAGCCTAGACGAGACATTTACTCGGCAGCAGCACGAATTACAGTCGCTCTACCTGCACGTCAGCGACGCGTACCAGCGCATCCGACATTCCGGGGAGGAGATTGTGGGCGAAGAGCGCCATAGGCTGAACGAGGCCGTGAAAGACGTGGAGGTTTTGGTAGCCAAGCTGGAGTACGAGATTGGCGCGCTCGTGGACAAGGTACAGGATGTGGAGGATGGGGTAGAGAGATTTGAGGCGCAGGTGGCAGACGTGGAGAGACGGGCGGAGGAGTTGAAGAACGTACTGGAGACGGAGACGTGGTTTCATTGGTTCATGAGGACGTTGACGGGCATTGGCACAGGACCGAATATTACGCAGGGAGTCACTTCGATGAAGATGGGGGAGGAGGGTGACAAGAGGGAGTGAGGAGGTGAAGGGCCTGATATACTTCGTTCGGGGAAGGCATGATGGTGCTCTTGGGGGACCGAAGCTGAGAGGGCGCTTAATCCACAGTGCTAGTGGGAGTACGTTGAGTGATATTAGGAGTTTGTTCTGTGGTTATTTCCTTCTCTTGTTTTGGCATTAGGCAATCTGCATCGTGCGGCGTTGGGACACACTTCGAGCATATAGGGTGACTATAGACAGATTGCCATTAGGCAGAGTTAATACAAATAATTATTTTTATCACATTAGTTCCCATCACACTACTCTCCATCTTGAACAATAAAGTGCTGGTGCAATCCAATGGTATTACCAATTACCAGGTTTAAACAAAGAAGACCTCTAAAAGGTTCCAAAGTATGGAAAGAAAACTAAACACTAGTCAAACTGATACAACAAAAGAAAAAGAGAAAAGAATAGAGCTGAGAAGCCCATGGTCTTCGTTCCCAACCGGTCGCCAGTCACCCTAAACCTGTAAAATATGTGTCTATTCTATATGCCACCATTGTGATCGTTCCACCGAACCAGACTTTTCCACGCGTCAACAAGACTTTACTCAATCCTCTTCTTACCTTCCTCGGCGTTGATGTACCGCGCCGTGCTAAGGCCGCGCTCATGCTTGGCCACCAATGGCCCAAGGATCTTGTCCTTGCGCACAACCTTGGTGATGGTCTCATGATAACCTTCCACGGCCCAGGGGCGAGGAACCAGCTTTGGCCAGTTTACCTGTTTTTGTCATGTTAGTAAAACTCCTAAGAAAGAAAGGGGGAAAAAAAGAGAAAATTAAAGCGAAAGAATGAACTCACATAGAGCATGCCGTTCGAAATGATAAATGTCAGCGACCACGCCGCGACAGCCGTCCAGAAGATGATGAACAGCCTCATCGGCCACACGGCACTATCGGGTAGCCTGGGCGTCCACATGCCCACAAAGACAAAGAACAGACTAAAGGCGGCCAGGTAGGGGATCGCCTGGATCAACACCGGCCTGCGGTCGACAAAGACCAGCTGAGAACCGATGTTCGCTGCGCCGGGCTGGTAGACGCCCAGGAATAGGTCAAAGGCGTCCTGCCTTGGACCGTCGAAGAAGTTGTTCTTGCAGTACCTCGTCACAGCAATGTTGGCGTCGGCGAGCGCGCCGGCCTTGGTACGCTTGCCCGTCCGGGTCAGGTCCGTCTTCATGGCGCCGGTGCCGGCGTAGCTGTTGGACACAATGTCGGCGTTGTCGGCCCACATGTTGCGGAACATGAACTCGAAGGCCGGGTCCTCGTCCTTGAACTGGGAGCCGCGCGCCATGAGGCCGAGGTCGATGAACATCCTGTCAAGCGTCCAGCGCGCGAGCATGGACTGCACAACGTTGGTGCGATCGAGGCAGTCCATGCAGTTGGTGCGCACTACGCTCGTCTGGAGGTTGCGAACTTCAAGACGGCCACCGTTGACCTGGCTGGCGGGAGAGTCGACGGCGCGGAAGTATTGCTGGGCAATCAGGGCCTCGTGCATCCTGTCGATGAGGAGCTGGGCACGGTGCATCTGAAGTCCCTTGGTCTCGGCGTGGAAGTCGAAGTAAATGTAGTGAAGGCGGTCGAAGGAGGTCTGGGGTTTAGTGCTGGTTTCGATGGTGTGGAACTTTTCATCGGTTAATGCGTCGGACTGGACACGTTCCTTGGGCGACGATACGAGGCGGTCGACCATCTGCTCGTAAGCTAGCTTGACGCGGGTCTCGCGGCCCTTCTGGTTGACCAGGTTCACCAGATAGTTGTCGCCATAGAGACGGATCTGCTCGTCAAAATGCGCCTTCGCTGCGGGGAAGGCGGCCTCGGTGCTCTTGAGCTGAATCGTAGGGGTATACTTGAGGTTGTTCACTTCGGCCCAGTAGACTGGGACACTTCCACGTGTTTGCACATAGGACAGGACCTGCATCTCCTTGCCGTCACTTCCACCAAGCTTCCCACTCTGCATGTCGCCGCTACCAGTGAAACCTCCCAAGCCGCTACCACGGTCGTTCAAGACCACGATCTGCTCCGTCTCATTGTAATTGGAGGCATGGCCCTCGGCATCGATGCCTCGAGAGAAGTAACGGGTACCAGCGCGGTGTCGTGATCGGCGGGTGATCAAGGCAATGGTTATGGGGGTACCCTTAAAGGTGGTCGGGTGAATCTCGAACATGCCGAAGATGACGGGAAGAATGTAGGGGTCGATGCCGGGCTGAGGAGCAGGAGAGCCCCTCCCTCCCTTGGTTCGGAAGTTGATGAGGTCGGACTGGAGGAATCGGTTCCAGAAGAAGCGGTCGTCGGCACGCTGCCACAAAGGCGTGGAGAGGTCATGTTGGGCTTGTCTCTGGCTGGTGTTTGTGACGTCAAGCGAGTAGGAAAAGTACATGGGCCCGGACTTGATGAAGCCCTTGAGCAAGTTCAAGAACTTGTCCTCATCGTGGTCGTGAATCTGTCGTTCGCGGAGGGGGAGGAACTCGGTCGCGACAACCTTGTACACCATATGGCCCCTGAGGCGGCCGACTGGTTGCGCTTTGGTGATGACGATGATGTACTTATCTGCGAAGTGTAAGTTTTACGGAAAGGAGTTACATGACGATGCAGGGGTTTATTGTCGTCCTCACCTAGGCGCAACCTGACAACACCCAGGATACCGGCGATGCTGGATACGCGGGCAACGCGCTTGCCGGCGAGTAGGGAGGCATCGCTCAGACGGATATCGCCAGTGGGGCGGTCGATTGTCAAGGCCGGCGCATTGGGACTGGAGGGCGAGGTGAAGATGTAAGAGTCCGAGGCGGCCTGGACGTTGATGTCCCGGAAGGGGAGCGTCATGATGATGAGGCAATGTGTGTTGTCTGCAGATAACGTAGAAGCTGACTCGACGGGAAGCACTTGGACGACGTTCTTGAGGGTCGGATGAAAAGGGACAGCAACAGACTTGGGGATGGCCTCGTCATGAAATGGACCGAAATTATGTTGTTTCGATACAGTGTCCCGATCTGGACATGGACCTACAGGGCCCTGAACTCTGGAAGTTTTGCCTCCTGTTGCCGGTCCTTGTAGCGGGTCTGTTAGCGGGCGGTAATCTCACTGCGCCTTCCCCGGATGCGTTGACGTGTAGATGGAATTTGACCTGGACATCCACATAGACCCCAATAGTCTCAGTCGCTCAGCCACCTCCGATGGCCTATACGTCTCTTCGAACCTACAAGGCCAAATAGTTGTAATATCCGGGCCCCACCACCCTCACCTACCCACCAATCCGGACATTACACCATTTGGCCCTATAGGTCTAAAACGACGCGGCTATACTCCGGTCTAAGCCTAATATAAACGAAATAGTTCATTATATGCAAACCCCCAAATTTCCCCAAATTTCCCTAAATATTATACTACCAAAATGAATAATACGTACGCTAAATTATATCCAACACTAATACACTTATTAATACTATCTTCTCCTATATTCCCTAATTTTAATAATATACTTATATCCTACTAACTATATTTAATAACCTAGCTAATATCTATTCTTTCGTCTCCTCTACCTTTATTCTAATTATAAAGTTCCTATTATCCGGAGGAACTATATAATAAATTATTTAATAAAACTCCTTCTTAGTATTTATTAAAATTCTTTAATTAACTTATAAATAAATTTTATTCTAAAGATATATTTATTATAAATATATTTATAGTAAATATTAATATTAATACGGAAATTAAAAATATTTAGCATCTACTTAATAATATTTACTAATATATTAAAATTAATTATCAGACGAATTTATTATATTACCTTATTTATTTATATATTTACCGGAGGACAAATATTTCCTAATAATATAATAAATATTTAAAAACGTTTATTAATATACTTCAATACTTTAAAGTACGTAAAGTCCTTATAAGTACCAACGTTTATATATACTTTAAAAAAGATAAAACAAAATATTAATTAGAAGGGGAAAAAACCGAACCTAAATTAGACAAATACCTAACCGAACCCCTAATTAAATATATACTTTAAATATACTTTAATAAAACCCTCCGTACAAAATTCAAATCTCTCTTAAATAAATTAGTATTTAATACCTTTCCTACTAATAAATTCGTTAGAATTAATAATACAACCTATCCTACTATTATTAAGGATATATTTAATATTTTATAAATCTATTCTTACCTCTGTTCTACCTATAATACTATATTTAAAATTATACTAAAATTAATAGAATTACTTACTATACTATATATATAATAATATACTTATTAAAATTTATACAAATTGAAAGATAATAACCGGAAAAAAAGAAAGATCCGTAATTACGTAATTATAATAGCGTTTATTATTATAAATCTATATATACTTCAAAATAATATATTTATCCTAAAGCTACTTAATATCTACCTTAAAAATAGCTCTATACAATTGCACGTATATAATATTCTAGCTTAATTCAATATAATTTCTTCTTATAAAATTACTTTATAAATTATTAACCGCCTTATTAATATTTTTATAATATATAACCTAATATTTAAATCCTATAAGGGGAAACTCCCTATCCCCTTATAAGATTTAAATATTTATACTTTTGTTATTATTTTATATATTTATATAATTATAAGCAAATTTTAAACTAATTAACTATAACCCAAATATAATTATTATTTATAATAATTTTAATTTTATTAACCGTATATAAAATTTTAAAATTAATTAGAAGGATATTATATAGAACCTTACTACTTATCTCCTTATTAATAATCCTAATATTAATAGGCCGTTTAAACTATTCTAGTAGCGCCTCTATATTAAATTCTAATTAGAATAGCTTTTTACTTACCTAAATATTATACTACTATCCTTCAATAATACGGCCTACTATTTTACTAAAAGTCGATTAGCCTCTATAGTTGGATAAAAATTATAATAGTCTATTCTTTACTTTCTAGTTATTAAACGATTAAAAACCGCTAAAAGCTATATCCTATAAACTCCTACTATTATAAAAAATAAGGGTAAAATCTCCGGTATTTATTAATTTTATAATAAACTCTTCTTTAATATTTTTGAACTTAATATAAATAATTTTAAGAATTAATTGATCCTTATTTACAATGATTAAGAAATAATATCTTTTATTTACTATATTATTCTCAATTAATTCGAAGTAAACTACGTATATAATTATAAATAATAGATCTTTACTATACTTATATTCTTTTATATCCTTATAAATTACATTAATATAATATTTCGGGTTTTCTAGCCTTTCGTAATATAAAATATTTAGGGCCTTAGAAGAAGCAAAAGGGTAAAATAGTATAATACTATATTCTATAACGGTTAGTCTTTATTAAAAAATATATTCGCCTCTAGAATTCTAACCTTTCTTATTACTAAGTTCGTAAATTATAATTCTATTTTAGAATCCAACCTTACTAAAATATTTATACGCCGAACTATATTGAATATTAGAGAAAAATTTATTAATCGGGAACTTTTTTCTATTTATAACGAAGTCTTTTCTCTATTTACTTAATTTAAGTATAAAATATCTTTAGGTATAATAAATATAGACTATTATAGTATTTATTGTTATTTTTAGATTGTTTGTATTTTTCTTATATTTAATAAAATTATCTCCTTAGGAAATTATAATATCCTCTAACAAATAATAAATCTTCTTCCCATCCTATTTTACAATAGTAAATTAAATAATTATAGGCTTAAAATACTATATTTAATATAATTATTTCATTCCGAAATTATAAACGAACCGCTCGTTAATATTATCCTATATTCTAATATAATATAATATTCTATACCTAGTATTTAGTAGAAGGTAATTAATATAATTTTTGAATATATTAATACTTTTTTTATCTTCGATATTAAATGGAATAAGAATTCGACTTACAATACGAGGATTTTATTCGTCCGCCTTTCTACTATTAGCCTTTATACTACAATTATTCGTAAAATTATTAAAAATAATATATAAATATATTAGGTAAATAAATATATAAAATTATCTATTAATATAAACGTTATTAATTATATTTATACAATTTATTAGAATAGGTAAGTATATTAGGGATATACGACTTTTCGACTACCTAATTACTCGGGATTTAATACCCCTAATATCTTATAATTTAGTTTTACTATATTACTAGAATTAAAATTTAATATATTTAATATAAAAGAGGTCCGACTATTATAGGTAAATAAATAAATTATAATCCGGAACTTTAAAAGGAGTATTAAGTAAATAGAGAGGGATATAGGAGAAATAATTATTAGTAGTAACAAAGGCGAATGGGTATACCTTAGTAATAAGGTTAAATCTAATAATAAAATAGCGTAGTATATTTTTAATAAAATATTAAATATTTATATAAATTAGAGCCGAATTAGTTTAGGGCACTCTATCTACCTATTAGTCCTATATAATTTTCGCGTTTTTATAGAACCGATTCTAAAATTATATAATATAGTAAAATTTATATAGGGTTTTATATAGGAGTATTAATATATTTATAGTTAGTAGAATATATTAATTTAATATATTTAAACTTAATAGGGGGAGTTAATTAACTCTCCCCCTATTAGATTTATATAAATAATATACTTATATCCCTTATTGGAATTCTATTCGTACTAATTTAATATATTTAAATCTAATAGGGGGGGGTTAATTAATTCTCCCCCTATCGGATTTACGTAAATACTAATATACCTATCTCCCTTATTAGAATTCTATTTTCTAATACTTTATTAGAATAGAGTTAGGCCTAAACTAAATTTATTATTTTAATATTACTATTATCCGCCCCTTTATACCTACTATCCTGAACCTTTATATTTTAATCCCTATTCTTATTATTATCCTTATTAATCGTTATTAACTCCCTACTTCTACTTTTAAATAAATTACTATTACTACTATTACTATAACTACTATTACTATAATTATTGTCCTCTCTCAATTACTAACGACCTAAACCTTAAAAGCAACTTTAATATAAATAAAAATATAAACCCCCTTTTTAATGAAGCTATAGTACTCGCAGATTCTAAAGTAGATATATTATTAGGAGGTAAATATCTCGCTACTAACGACGCTAGTTAAATATTAAATAAGAAAGCTAAATTTTAGAATCCTTTAAATATCGAATTATTCCTAGAAATAAATTTTAAAAACGGAATTTCGAAGCGTAGAAAGTTATTTAGGACGGAGAAACCTCTACTAAAAGTTATAGAACCTATAGGGGGGTAAAAGAATAGAGGCGGGTTAGAACGGATATTATAACGCTAAGGCCTCCTTCTAAAGGGAGGGTAGGTTAAACTCAGCTAATATTAGTAGGGTTATTTAGTATTATTATTAGTAATTATACTAATTAATAAAAAAATTATTATTTAAATCGGATTTAAATTTTAAATTAGATAAAAGGAATTTTAAAGTATAGAAAATTATTTAGGACGGAAACTTCTATTAAAAATTATAGAATCTATAGAGGGGTAAAAAAATAAAAATAGGTTAGAACAAATACTATAACGTTAGGGCTTCCTTCTAAGGGAGATTAAATTAGGCTAGTATTAGTAAAGTTATTAGTATTATTATTAATAGTTATGCTAATTAATAAAGAGGCTATTATCTAAGTTAGATTTAAATTCTAAATTAAATAGAAGGAGTTTTAAAACATAAAAAATTATTTAGGACAAAAACCTTTACTAAAAGTTGTAGAACCTATAAGGGAGTAAAAGAATAGAAGTAGGCTAAGACAAATATTATAACGCTAAAGCCTCCTTCTAAAGGAGG